TGAGGCTTTAGAGTCTAGCGTGTAGGTTTTTTAGGGTTTCAATATGTTTCAGTGTGGTTCGGTCTTATGGTCTCAGTGTTTCAGCGCTTTACGGCTCTTGTGGATTTTATCATTTTAGCTTTAAGCAGTTTTCAGGAACCCTCAACGACCTCGACTCACCAAGAAAAAAACGAGCCAACCCTCAGATGTGTAGCGTCTTTGTTGGGTCGGGGTTTCAGGTTTCACTGGTTTGGGTTCAGGCTTGAGGGTTTGCTGTTAGGATCTGGATTTTCGCCATACCCAGTTTTTGAGGATTCCTGGATATGTATAGAGTATCGGAACTTGATCCCCTCAAAAGCAAGCCCAATGATACTATGATCTTGGGGCTTATACCCAAGACGCTCCCAAGTAAGTATATGGGGATGAGTACTTACTATAGACCTTAGCCGGCCAAATCGTAATGCAGGAGCCCGTTTTAGTACTGTCTAGGTACTTGCCATCTTATGATTGTTGGGGTTAACGTACCGATGCCCTAAAACCTAAACCCTAAACCCCTAAACCCCAAACCCTAAACCCTAAGCCCCTAAACCCTAAATCCCTAAACCCTCTTCCATACCCTAAACCCCTAAACCCCAAAGTGCCGAAGCCTTCCAGAGCGTGGAATTTGAGACCTGGCAGTTTGGCGGTCGTGGCTTTGCTAGCCCTAAACCCTAAAACCTAAACCCTGCACATTGCTTCATCTCTCCTGATCCCTGTGCCCTTAAAACCACCAAAATAATATTGGTAACTATTTGGGCCCCTACATTAGCCCCTAAACCCTTTCTTGATTCCTATACCCTTAAACCCTATGATCCATAGAAAGCCAAAACAAAGCCAGTAAGAGGAACCCGGAGGAAGACGGCCATCAACCTTCATGCGCTTGATATAAGGTTCTTAATAATTAGAATAGGGTTTGAGGTATAGTACATTATAATTCTAGTAAGGAACCCCTAGAAGGCCCTAGACATGACACTTCGCAGTCCAAATCCCGAAACGCGAAGCCTGCGCACTTAAACCTGTAAATTTCAATCCTTCGACAGCCTTCAGCGCTGGGACCTCATCGAGCCCAGGGTCGTAGAGGTCGGGTCTACGGCTAAGGGTTTAGGGTTTTGGGCTTAGGGTTTAGGGTTTAGGGTTTAGGCTGCGGGGTTTTGGGGTTTCAGGTGATCTTGTCCTCGGTCGAGCAGCTGCCACCCGAGGAGGGTGGGTAGGGTTTAGGGTTTAGGGTTCAGGGTAGAGGTTTCGGCTGGGGTTGGTGCTTCGGTGCTTCGTAGCGTACGTTTGCACGCTGTGGGGGCCTTTGTAACCATGGTGCATTCATGTATGTGCATATGTATGCATGTATTAATGTAATGT